ATATTGCAACCATACTGAGGTGAACACTAACTATCATTAACTATAACTTAATTTTAATTATTTTGTTGTAGTCTAATCATTTTCAGGTTGTAGTAGCTCATCAAAGTAATGCCACATATGCTGTGTTTATATACAAGTGTGGACTCATGAACTGGACATTATATCATGCTGGTGTTGGTATTAATAGTGGTGATGGGTATTATATTAATCATCCACTAGCTAATACTAGTAATGTTACTGACATAGACTGCTATGATGCAGTATCTGAATGGACTAATATTGTATACAGACTAGATCAAGGTATTATTAATCAATGTAACATAATTCTTATAATAGTTATTAGTTATAGATAAGTTTGAGTTCCTATCCATTACACCTCACAGTATTACAGTATCATGGAATATCATCCCTAACAACAACAGTACACTTATTCTGAGTATTACTGATTCACTTCAAACAGTTAACGAAACAATTAACGTTACTGGACATAATGTATATAATTATACTGAAGACCTCTCTTCTTGTAATGAATATACCTTTAAACTGGCACTGCCCATGTCAAGTGGATGTAAGGACAGCATTAGCATATCTACAGGTACAACTAACTTATTCTAATAAAATTACAATTATCACTTTCTTAAAAGTACCAAAACCTGACAATGTATCTGCATTATATCTAACCAATGAAACAATAATCATAAGATTTCAAGTATGCATCAACAGTCAATAATGTATTATAACATTTTATAGATAGATGAGAAGATTACAAATGCAATAAAGTTATTTCTGTTTGAAGCTAATGGACACATTAATACATCAGATCCATTAGATATTAACAGTCTTCAATACATTGATGAGTTTTATGTTACACACTGGAATATAAAACTAAATGACCATTCATTGTATTACCTAACAGTATCAGCAATTGGTACATATGGAACTAGTACTTCTGATCATGTAACAGAAATAAGTAAGATACCATTGTCAATGTGTGGTAAGTGTATGTATGTACTTATTATAGATACATATAATGTAAAGGATATAATGATAGAGAGGAATGGAGATATTGTTTGCTTTGTTTGTATTACTGAAGTGCTTAATGAATGTCAAGTATTAATAGCATCAACAACAACACTGATACCACAATCAATACAAACTAATGGAACATGTTATTCATTTACTGATAATGGAACATACACTGTATATGCACATGATATTGAGAATGGAATAAAGATACTGACACCAGCAATAGTTATTGGATACACAGTTGACTGGATTAAACCACCAGACACAGGTAATTACAGTAATGAGATATTATACATGTAAATCCAATACAATTATTGCAGAGAACACATTATCAAGTACAAAAAAGTTCATATTATACCAAACAAGCAGTGATGAATTAATACTTCCAATGGAACCTAGTCTGACTACTTCAGCAATGCTCACTACTACTACTAACAGTACTGACTATCAAAGTATGATTTGCACAGTATGCTCATGTACATGATTCTGTTGTCAATAGGTCAATCACAAATGATTGTTATAATACTGGGAGGTCTCCTTGGACTCACAACATTTACTGTTCTCGTACTATCACTGGCAATGATCGCAATACTGAGGAAGAAAGGCAAAAGTATGTGTATATTAATACTTTGTATCATTTCAATATGTTATTAAGGTAAAACAAACTCTATACCTCAAATTCAAGAGGCTAATGACATTCCAGTCACTACAAAAGAGGATCCAGTATATGAAATGATGAACAATGACATACCATCACTTAATACTAATAACTACTATGAAGCTGTTGCTATCAGTACCATCACTGATAACTCTATGGTGTATGATGTCCCTGGAACAAAGCCTCAAGTTTCATCTTACCCATACAAAGTTGGACATTTTTAATGATAC